ATATATAGGCTCATGAAAGATTTTCTCAATGTTACAAAGCTAGGTATTGGTGGCACCAGGAGGACAGTTCAAACAGTTTGGCTTCACGGCCTTTTTCTTATTCACTATATCATAGGTAAATATTAAAAAGGTGATAAAATGTACAAGCACATGATATGTCTAAATGCAAGTAGGGCTTAAAAAGAAGAAAAAGCTGTGTAGTTAAGAGCTGGCAGGAAAACTTCAGGAGAAAAGAGAGACATTTTCTTTGTGCTTGCACTGGAGGGAAACTGTTCCGTGGTACTATTTATTTAAGATGCTATGGTGGATGGACAGTTCCATGTTGTGTGAAGGGTTAGAGACTAAGAAATAAATGTCAAAACAAAAATTTTGACCTTTTTAAAAATCTCAAAAGATCAAATTAGACTTGTTTGAGGTCAAAACCACCCGGCAGAACACAGCATGATTTCAAGAGTATTATCTGGTGGTACCAACACCAAGATACTAAGAGCCAAGGGTGTGAAATATCCCGGTTGGTACTGAGACACACCGGTAAATAAGCTCCAGGCTTTCCCAACCCTGTGGGTGGGTTGGGACAGCAGTTTCTAACAACATCTGACCACCCTTACATGGAAGTCTTTAGGTTCCCACACTTTGAATTAAAGATATTTTACTACAATTCCTATTATAATGAGTTCTCATTTTACTTAAATAAATATATCACAGGAAGAAATTTTAACAAGGATGGTGACCTCATTGACTGGTGGACTCAACAATCTGCAAATAATTTTAAAGAGCAATCTCAATGCATGGTGTACCAGTATGGAAACTTTTCCTGGGACCTGGCAGGTGGACAGCACGTATGTTGATAGCCTTCTCTCAAAAATCCTTAGATCTATTCAATTCTCAGTGAAATGTTGATGCTATTCTCAATGGTATTAACAAAGGGTCTTTTTCTAAACAGCTCAATGGAATTAATACGCTGGGAGAAAACATTGCTGACAATGGAGGTATTGGCCAAGCATACAGAGTAAGTAATAATGTTTTCTTCCCATTTTAATGAATGGAGTGTTTATCACATTGAATCATTTATATAAAGACTTTTGAAAAAAAAACCACACACACATATAATATAAACAGTAAATGATGAACATAAAATGGAAAAAATGTGATGAGAAAGGGGTTTGTAAACGTATCGACCATAAGGGTCAATACAGTTGATGTGATAGAGTTGAATACATCTCTTAAGTTTGCAACAATAAAAATACACACACATGAAAAAGAAACACAGAACAGCAACAGAAATGAGGAGATAAGCAAGTGCCACAAAAGAGGCAACATTTTTCTAAAATTAATCTCTGAAATAAATGTTATAGAAATGATATCCCATTGGAAGGATTATTTCAGACTCATTGATCAACATAATGAATAGGACTCTCGGTTTCGCAGCAGGTGGAGTAGAATTTGGGAACAATACTCAGCATAAATTAGAGGTGTAATACTAGACCACAGTCCATCTGGCATGACACAATAAGGCACTGAAGTGGTATTGTTCCGACACGTGGCCTTACAGTCAACCAAACTGACATATGCAAAGAAGTATTATCAACAGAGCATCCCTTAGGATTCCCCCTTAGATTGCCATTTGTTCTTGCATTTGATAAGTGTTTACTGAGATTTTACTGTGGTTGGGCATTATTCTAGGTGCTAGAGATATAGCAGCAAACATTCCATTAAAAATATCATTATTTGATGTCCTGAACAGAGGATGTTCTAGTGGATGCCATGTGTATAAGAAAAGTAGGGATTTTCACCAATAGGTGGAAGGATGGTGGACTTGGAAGCAATGAGGAGCGAGAAGGGTGATTTTAAGTGCTGCTCGCAATTCTGAGGTAGTCTATGCATGGCAGAGTGAACAGAGTCTACATGAGATGGTACATGGGACAAGGTGTCCCTGGGCTAGAACTAGGTTTCCCTAAAATAACAATGGCTGGAATGATTGCTGCAGTGGGTGAGAATGCAGGATTATCTGTTCATAGAAATGTTTGGGATAGATGGGAGGAGAAGAATATGAGTGGTTCAGTCAGAGAAAAGAAAGGATCAGAGAAGTGTAGGGAGAGATGACTGATGGGTCCTGTGTGTAGGCAGTGATCAGGATGATCAGAGCATGAAGCTTGGAGGGTTAAGCCTGCTCTGTGTCCAAAGGAATAAGTCCCGGTCAATACCTGGAGGGCGGTGGTTCCTGCTGCCTTGAAGGCCTGGTAATTTTCTTTTGCTGGATGCAGGACATTGTGCATTTTACTCTTTGGGTGTTGGATTATTTTGTTGTTGTTGTTTTTCTATAAACATTCTTGAGCTTCATTCTAGGATATAGTTAAATTCATTGAAAATGATTTGATCCTTCTGGGTCTTGCTTGAGAACTTGGTAGGTGGGACTGGGACAGTTCTCGGTCTAAGGACAGTTATTTCCCACTGCTGAGACAAGATTCCACCACATAAATCTTGGGCTTTCTATTCTTGTCCTGTGTGAGTACCAGGCATTTTTACTTCTAAGCTTGTTGAATGATTCTTTTCCTAGCATTGAGTAGTTTGTTCATACACATCTTCAGGTCAATACTGAGCCCGAGGGTGACCATCTGCGATCTCTTTTTGTGTAGGTTTTTTCCTCTGTAGAACCTGTCCATGGTGTCTCTGAACTCTCAGATTCTCCTGAGCTTGAGGAGTTCCCCAGGCTCAGACTGAGGTTCTCTATCCTAGGTTGTTGCCTAAAAAATCTCAGGACAATAAATTTGACTATCCTAGGATGTACTTTTTTTTGTTTACCATCTCTCAGGGATCATTGTTTTTTTTCCCCTTTGATGTCCAGTGTTATGCAAACCATTGCTTCATAATATTTTTCTATCATTTGATTGTTTCAGCAGGAGGTTAAACCCAGTCACTTTATCATGGCTGGAAGTGAAAGGCATTAGATCTCTTAATTTTCCCATAGTGATTCTAATATACAATGAGATGGAGAATCACTACTGGATGAATCCAGCCAAAGTTCAAGTTAATGGTATATAGTTCTGTAGAAACTCTTACCTGGAGAAAGTGTAGAATTATAATTGAAGGAAAATATAACTATGCAAATCACAGTTATTGTCACAAATATTATCACACCTTGAGAATGCTTTTCTCTCCTGCTAGACTGTGTGCCCCCTAAGAGGGAGCAGGGACATGCCTTCCCCATATCCCTAGTACCTTTATATAGTAGAGGGTCAATAAATCTATGTTGATGGTGAATAGGAAGAAATGAAATATATCTATCTTCTGTTTGTCTAATTGATCACTTTTCTTTATATTAATATAGAAATTACACATCTCAAAAAAATTGTTGTCAATCCCTTTTCAATTATATTTAGTAGAGGGAAACTATTGTTTTTCAATAACGTTTATAAATCCTTAAGAGTTAAGAACATTTTATGACATTCAAGTTACCTAAAGTCCTTCCTTCTAATGTATTATAACTGAAGTTCAGTCTATTTTGTCCTGTCTTTAAGGGACCAGAATAGTTGCATAGCCTTATCCTCAGGCTCATAAGATACTAGGCCTCTAAGGAATCTCAAGAGAAACCCTTGACTTTTGGTAAGAATTACTCAGATTGAGTCTGGTGAGTCTATTTTGCTAAGAGTAGTGACTAAGCCTCACACAGCAATTGCAGACTTCCTTGGCAATTCATTCATCCAAGAGGCTGCCCTCATTCATAGAACAGCATGTAGACAAGTTTTTCATCACTTATTTTAGTCATCCATTCATTCAACTGACATTTATTGATCATCTAACTTATGCTAGCTTCTTGTCATCTGCTAATCACTATCATGTTCTTTTCAGAGCATTTGTAAATACATTCTAGTTTTCTCTCTAATCCATGAAATAGTTGTAGTTTGCCAGTCTAAATTATTATGTATTATGAGAGTGATTTTGATATAAAGGTTAATTACTTGGTTACATGGTCTTTTGCAAAGGCTTATATACAAACTTAGAAATTATAATCATTTTTTTTTATTTTATCAACTGCCTAGGCATATCAGAATTATGTTAAAAAGCACGGTGAAGAAAAATTACTTCCTGGACTTAACCTGAATCACAAACAACTGTTTTTCTTGAACTTTGCCCAGGTATTGCATCTCTCTTGAATGATAGATATGGAAATTATTTTGAATTAAGATTTCATAGTAACTTAGTACATACCAAGTTTTCTAGTTTTAATCAATTGTGGCAGAGCATTTGACTTGACTAACTTTCTTTGTCTATGATAAGCTGTCAGATCATATTAATGATGAATAATATATTCCCAGTCATACATTATTTGATGAGTCAATGGCTGAGTGGTGCGAATTTTGATTTAATTTTGCTTCTTCCCCCTAAACAGCTCAAACAATAATCTTCTATTGACCCTGAGAATGCTATTTTTCTTCTTCTATTCCTATCTTAGGTATGGTGTGGGACCTACAGGCCAGAATATGCAGTCAACTCCATTAAAACAGATGTGCACAGTCCAGGCAATTTCAGGTGCGTGGGGATGAAGAGCAACCAGGTTGCTCCTGTGTTGGCTCCATTGCTTCCATATTGGAAACATGGCCTTTCCTAACTCTGGTTATAAACATTTCAAAATATGGTACTGCTGCTTCCTTTTTTTTTTTTTTTTTGAGAGTCAAAGGATCAACAGGACACATTGTGTTTTTACACCAGCATAGCCTTGGCTGCTCTTTTTCCTAGAATCTGTGTGTCCAAGGCTTAGCACTTGATGAATTCCTATAAAGATGAGGTCTCAGAACAGAAGGTCCATTTTAAGCTAGTGCAAAAACATTTCTATGAGGGTCTACATGGTTTAGTTCTAGACCAAGGAGTTACAAATTTTAAAGAAAAATTTTCATTCAACATAAGGAAAAACTTTATATTAATTAGAGGTTCTCCAACTTGGAGTAGCAGCATTCCCAACACTCCAGAGGAAAATACCCTGAAGCAGAGGTCAGAGAAGACTAGTCCATCAAGGGTGCTACAGGAAAATAGTTCAGAGGGCAACTTCTAACTCAGTTAGAAGATAGAAGTTCTTCCCAAATTAGAAAATCGAGTTAGAAGATAGAAGTTAGAAGTTAGAGTTAGAAGATAGAAGTTCTTCCCAAATTAGAAAATCGACGAGAACAATCGAACTTCTAACAATAGAAGTTAGAAGATAGAAGTTAGAAGTTAGAGTTAGAAGATAGAAGTTCTTCCCAAATTAGAAAATCGACGAGAACAATGGACAGAAAGAGAATCGTTCTAATCAATATTTGAATATTAAATCCCAGATTCTGTTGTGTTTTAGGAGTGAATTCCTAATGCTTAACACTGAGTCACTCACTGGCTGACCAACTGCTACACCTGTCAGGCAAGAAAGTCTGGGGGGAAATCCTAAAATTTTCTAGGATGGTTGGAAAATGGAATTGGAGAACAAATGGAATAAACTTCAAAAGCACTACCTAAAATGTGTGTAAACACACTGCTGTGGGGAAGAAAACACATTCATTTATAAGGAAAAACATGTTCAGTTATGAATCTACAAAGTAACATATTCAAAAATGAAATAATTGACTCAGCTTGCTGCAGCCTGGTCGCTGTCACCATCATCACCACGATCTAGTATCTGCCTTCACAATTCTTTCCCAGTCCATTCACTCAACAACTGTTTAGCGTGTGGAATCCCAACTAAATTTTGTCATACTAAATAAAATTTTTAAATTAGCTGCTTTTTAGGTATTATGCAACAAAAGTCACTGGAGCCATTCCCAGGATGGCTTACCCAAGAAACTTATAGTTTTAATTTCTTTTCTTTTTATTTATTTTGTACAGTTTTAATTCTTAGAAGTTTGCCTTTTTCCTTACTGAAGTCTTTAGAAGTTAAGGCTTAAGAATGTAATTCTGAGAATAGCAGAAGGATACACAAACCACCATATAATAAATTTCTCAAGGCTTTGTCCTACATTTCCCCGTGAGCTAAAACATAAAAACCTCAGTAAACTTAAGTAATATTATTATGATACCTGTGTGTCTGTCATCCTCAGAACATGAGAGGTTACAAATTATTTTTTTGGCAGTAAAGTTTGTCTCTTTAGAATTATAACATTTTAATCTTAAATGCTGAATTAAAAATTTTTTTTCTAAAATATACCTTCTTGCCCCAACAAAAGGGGTTTGTTTGTTATCCTGAACAAAATCTGACCTCTTTTTTTCTGATGACACAGACAACTCTTATGTTCATTAGCTATGGCTTTGCTCTTTAAAAATTTGGTGAAATCGGGTTGTGCCTATGGCTCAAAAGGGTAGGGCACCAGCCCCATATGACGGAGGTGATGGGTTCAAACCCAGCCCTGGCCAAAAACTGCAAAAAAAAAAAAAAAATTTTTTTTCAATTAAAAAAAAAAAATGTAGTGAAATCCTCAAAAGCTGTAGCAGATGAAACTATTTACACCTACAGCAGGGATGAGGCTTCTCGACTTCTCATTTTGTCCTTTTACTCAAATTTTTCTGCATATTTGTCTCTTCTTTAATTCTCTTCCCTGTTATTCTATTGCCTGCCATTAGCCACCCATTTCTCCGTTCTGATTAGCTCAGAAAACATATTATTAGGTTCACGTGGTAAAAATGAGCATAAGCTTTGGAGGAAGAAAAACTGAGCTGCACCCTTGGTTCCACCACGTACTAGCTGTTAAACTCTGTCCCTCAGTTTCCTGATATGTAAAATGAGAATTAAATTATCACGAGAGGTGTTGGAGAATTCAGGTTGATGTCTACGAGATGTGTATTATATAGAAGTGTTTGAAAATTAGTCCTAAGATTAGTTTTAGGTAAGAAGTAGGAACAGAATAAGATCCTATGAAAAATATTTATAGACTTTGCTACATTTCCACAACAGTGGACAGTGAAGGGCTTTTTGTGGCTTATTTTTCGTGTTCTACACCCCTTAGAATGTTAGTACCTGATTACCCATTCAGTGGTAGATAGGTAAGGAAGGTGTTAGGTAACTATTTCATACCCCCACTTTCAAACTGAAAATAATACTTTATTATAAATATGTGAAATTACTTGTATCTTTCATTTTTTTGTTGTTGTTCTGGCCCCAAAGGTGCCCCTTTGACTATTTCTCATTCATAATAAGAGAAATATGTACGTGTGTTTTTGTTTTTGTTTTAAGTGTAAACGGAGTGCCAACCTTTTGTCAAGGAAATAATTATTTTCTCTGGAGGTAAAAAGATTTCCTTGGCAAAAGGTTGAGGTTACATTTAGTTTTGGAAACAGGCTGCTTCCTGGCTGTACAAAGTAAAACACATTTTTAAAGAACTTTACTAATAGACATTGAGCTACTATTGAAAATTTGTACTTGGTGGTTTATGTAAAAATATTTTTGAAACAGAGGGATATTTATAACCCTATGCTCAAAAAGCCGCACTGTTAAAAACAAAAGGCAAAATATACTTGATGTAAAACAATCTATAAAAACATATTTGTTAGGTCTCACCCATAATTATTTTCTTCTTTGTAGCTAAAGCCTTGTGGACTTTAAAATGAACTTTTAAAACCTTTTGAAAAAACCTTTTCCCTTTAGTCATCTAGAAATTTAACATTTAAATATTTACTACCTTTTGGAAATCCAGATTTTAGTTAGACCAAATCCATCATCATGTCAGAAAATGGTGATTTTCTGTAATAATAATACCATATAATTTATAAATATGTTTCTAAAATTATTTAGGTGTATTATTTCTATGTAATAATAATATAGAAAAGTCTGATAATTTTTAAAGTGAGTCCAAATAAACAAAATGATTTAGATGCTTCAGTTGCTCAATATTACTGACAAAGTGAGATTCAGTCTTACTATGAGACCAATGTATAACTTTCTTATGAAAGCTATAACCCATTTATAGCCCAAGAAGAAGGGGAAAGGGAAGAGGGAGGGGAGAGAGGAGGATGGGTGGAGGGAGAGTAATTGGTGGGACCACACCTACAGTGCATCTTACAAGGGTACATGAGAAATTTACTAGGTGTAGAATGTAAATGTCTTAACACAATAACTAAGAAAATACCATAAAGGCTATGTTCACCAGTTTGATGAAAACATTTCAAATTGTATATAAAACCAGCACATTGTACCCCGTGATTGCATTAATGTACACAGCTATGATTTAATTAAAAAAAAAAATAATAATAATAAAGGACAGCACTTTATAACAAGCAAGAAATGTTTTTCACAGTGAAATTTCTAATACTTTTGAAAGAATATTCTTTCTAGTATTTTAAGTAGTAGTCAAGAAATATGGCTACTTCACTCATTTTATTCTATAATTTAGCATGATTAGTCTAAACTCTTTTTGAAATACTGGGTTTTTTTCCATTTACCTCAAATGCTAGCAGAATTTTTTCCTGATATTTTATAAATATCAGTATGAATTTTGGTGGGCTTTGTAAAATTTCTGTTAGAACCTAATAATTTTTAGCCCATATCTAGAAATGTATTTGGGCATTTATTTCTTTACAAATGTATAGTGGGACATGACACTGACCAATGTGACTTTGCTTTGAAACTAAGTAAAATTTAGTTCATGATAAGGCTGAGTGTCGTGGTTCATGCCTTATCCCAGCACTCTGGGAGGCCGAGGCAGGAGGTGGATTGCCTGAGCTTACAGGTTCAAGACTAGCCTGAACAAGAGTGAGACCATGATCTGAAAAATAGCTGGGCATTGTGGTGGGCACCTGTAATCCCGGCTACTTGGGAGGCTGAGACAAGAGAATGGCTTGAATCTAAAAGTTTGAGGTTGCTGTGAGCTATGACACCACAGCACTCTACCAAAGGTGACAAAATGAGACTCTGTCTGAAAAAAAAATTAATTAATGATAAAGAGTAGATAGTTTACCCCTGAATGAAGCCAGTTAACCTTGTAATCAAGTCATTCATTTAAAAGAAGTAACAAAAGATTGTGAGAACACTCGTTAATTGTAAAAACTCATTCAATAACTCAAAATTTCCATTAATTACAGGCAGGAGTAGTCAGATACTTTATAGGATATAAAGTCCATTCTTTATCATGAACCGCACAGTGTTGGCTGTTATATCTCCTAGATGTTTTATTAACAATAGAAGTGATTATTTGCCACGGGAATAGGCAGCAGTTGTACAATAAATTATTAAATAATCAATGAAAATCTTTATTATCTCTGTTATGAGAAATACAAAACAAGAAGTTACATAGCTTTTATGCAGCAGAAAATTCATGTACATATTCTGTGTAATACTAATGAAATATGATCTCGCTCTCAGAGAAGGGATTCATTTTATTAATAATGTATCCACTTTTCAGAATAGATTCTTCATATCATTCACTCAGAGATTTGGTGTTATAAACACCAAACATTAATTAGAGTCCTAGGAATGTAAGTGAGGCCCTTATGGGTTGTTGACCTGATTATTCAGGATTACATGATCTAAGTGAAATCTCAGCAGGAAAGAGAAGAGATCAGACTGGTGTGCACAGGCGAATGCATACTGGGTTGAGTGCTCGTGCATTTCCAGCAGACAGCAGTGTTTTTCAAAGACTTTTCTTTCATTGAGGTGTTTTTTTGTTTGCTATCTTATTTATTAATTATTTTTTAAATTTTTAAGAGAAATACAGAATGAAGTCACTGGTTTAGACATTTTTTACTGAAGAACTTGTCCCCATATAACTAAATTTAAGACGCAGTCCTTTTGGAAAATTTTAATTAAATAAAAACCAAAAAAAGTGCAGCTTTTCTAGTCAATGACTTTTAAATTCCTACCCTGTCAACCAGGGAGCTCTTACTCCCAGAGTGAGGAGTGTCCAGGCCACTGTGATGACTTTGCCAGTACCTGGGGCTTCCTGAATTGGGAAGAGGATTGGATTAAATGAATCAAGCTCCTCTCTAACATAAAGAATCGTCAAGCCTACAACCTGAAAAGACTAAAAACCAATGCAAATTCCTAATTTCTAAGATCTTTTAATTCCTACCTATCCTACTTAGGGTCACCTTTGTACATTATAGAAATGAATTTGGTTTTATTTTCCTAACGAACAATGGAAGTCCATTTTTCACAGTTCTGAAGGCTGGATGTGAAAGATGAGGGTGCCGGCACGATCAGGCTCAGTCCTGGTGAGGGCCATCTTCAGGCCTGCATGGAGACTTTTCATATCATTACTTGATCAAAGAATCAATGTGTACTTTAATATTTCAGAAAACACAAACCTCTTTTTTTTACATCAAGTTAAGTCCTCTAAGCTCCTGGCCTAAGCTAAAACATAAGCAATTTAATTTCAGTGCATTACTTTCTAAGGTTAAACAGAAATCTAAAGTCATCACAGGGGCCTAGAAGTGAGGGAATAGCTTCTATCTCCAGCCTGCCATGGTCACTGCTAAGACCCTTCAGTCTGAGAGCTTCAGCTGAAGTCAGGTGGCTTCATCTCCTTCGAGGAGTCTTGGGGAAGGGCTGCCAGAGCCTCCATTCTTCCAGTTCAGGTTCACCAACAGCCAAATACCAGTCCTGTCCCCACTTCATTCATGGGGAAACCAGTCATCTTCCACTCAAGTGGACTAACAGATCTTTTTCTTTTTTTTTAATTTCATAATGTTAGGGGGTACACATTTTGTTTACATACTTTGTACAGATTGAGTAAAAATTATACTTATATATATGCATAACTTTGACTCAGTTCTGCTTTCATATATGCACATGTGCCCTTTACCCAGGTAGTGTACCCAATAGGTGTGAATTTACTCATCCCTCCTCCCTAGCTTAATTTTCATTGAGATTTACTTCCATAGATGCACTTAAGTGTTGATCCATTAATTCCAATTTGGTGTTGATAATGTGTTTGTTTCTCTATTCTTGTGATGTTTCACTTAGAAGAATAGTATCCAGTTCCCTCCAGGTTGTCCAAAAGGATAGCACATTGCCAGCAGTACTCCGCAATGTGCATGCACTTCATCCTCTTAATCCATTCATGTATTGGTGGGCACTTGGGTTGTTTCCACATCTTTGTGACTTGAACTGCACTGCTATAAACAATTAAGTGCAAGTGTCCTTTTTACAAAATGACCTTTTTTCCTTTGAGCGTATACCCAGTAGTGGGATTCTAGATCATATAGTTAGTCTACTTTGAGTTTTGAGGTGTCTCCATCCAGTTTTCCATAAAGTTATACAGCCCCACCAACAGTTTATGTAAGAGTTCCTCACACCAGCATTTATTGTTTTGGGACTTTTGTGGTTTTGATTTGCATTTCCCTAAAGATTAGAGATGTTGAGCATTTTTTTCACGAGTTTGTTGGCCATTGTCTATCTTCATTTGAAAAGTTTCTGTTCATGTCCTTTGCCCACTTTTTAATGGGCTTGTTTGGCTATAGTAATCAGAACAGCATGGTATGGATGCAAAAATGGACCCATAGACCTGTGGGTCAGAACAGAGAACCCAGACGTGAAATCATCCTTTTATCTCCATCTGATTTTTGACAAAACGGATTAAAACATCTTCAGCAAATTCCCCAGCCCTATTTCCACTTCACCTCAACCCTCCCACACCAGAAAGATTCCTTTAGGAGCCCTGAAAAGCAAACCAAAAAGGGTTACACCTTCTCTGCAGGGAGGGGATGTGTAAAGGGGCAATGGAGGGCTAATATGTTGATGGGTGACATGAGAAAGTCAGACTTACATGAAGTCCATGAGGATCTCTCTTCCCTGCATTTGGTCCATAATAGAAAAAAAAGAACTGTAAACAGTGTTTCTATTCATTATGCCCTGTTGCCTCTCTGCAGGTAATCACCATGACCACAGATTCATCCATTCATTCATACTGAGTCCTGAGATGCATATTGTTATGCTGGGCTTGGAGGGTGAGCAGAGAGCAAGACAAGGGCACAGCACCATCCTCCCTTGGTATCCATCAGGGAGTAGTTCCAGGAGCCCCCCCACAGACACCAAAATCCATGGATGCTCAAGTCCCTGATATAAAATGGTGTAGATTTGATTGTAACCTATGCACACCCTCCCTCTAGGGGAGGTAATTAGTAATCACTTCTAGATTATTAATAATAACTATCACAACATAAATGTTGTATAAGTAGTTGTTATTCTGTATTGTTTAGGGAATAATGACAAGAAAAATGTCCATGTATGTTCAGTAAAGACGTCACTTCCACACACATGTATTTTCATCCATGGCTGGTGGAATCCACAGGTATGGAACACATGGATAGGAAGGGAAGACTACATTTTGCCTTCATCAAAATTATAGTCCAGTGGGTATGTAGGGAAGTAAAGGAGGGGAACAAATCATTGTAAATCATGATAAGTGCTTTGCTGGGATAGTAGAAGTCAGAGGAACTAGTTTAGATGATAGTCAAAGAATGCCACCAGGAGGTGGGTTCTAAGCAAAGGCATGAAGGGTGAGAAGAAGTTAGCCATATAACAGCTGCAGGTAACTTTCCAGGGAGTTGGTAACAGCAGGCCCTGAAGAGGGAAAGGGCATGGCTGGTTTGAGGGACAGAGGAGGTCAGCATACTGGGTCTTCCAAAACTTCCCCCTAAAGTCACCATACACAGAGAAAATTAGAAATTCTTGCTAAATGTACCTTTATTTACAAAAAATTCATTGTAGAATTTTGTAAAATATTTTAAAAATATTCTATACATGTTGGCTGTCTTTTTGTAAAACTGTAATATTTTACAAATTATATGTTCTAAATAAAGGGACATTTAGCAACAATTTCCCATTTTCCCCATCCATGGCAACGTTAGAGGCAGATTTGGGGATACTTCGAGGAGGCCGGGAAGGTAGGCTGGAGCCAATAAGACCTTGGAGGTTATGGAGAGAAGAATATGACTTTCCTTCAAGGCCCTGCAAGGTTTTAAGTAAGAAACTATGGAATCTGATTTAAATTTGTAAAGATCCCTCTGTCGGCTATGTGGAAATGGGGTGGAGAGGAGAGATGTGCTGGAATGGACCCACGGTAGGCATGTGCAGATGGAGAATGGGGTGGAGAGGAGAGATGTGCTGGGATGGACCCACGGTAGGCATGTGCAGATGAGAGAGTTCTGGAATCAGAGCAGCCTCTCCTGTCACTCACTCCTGGTCTTCCCCTCCCCATAGTCCACGCGCCCAGCCCCTTCCTCCCAACCCAAGGTGAGTGTGGCCCCTGCTGGTCCCAACAGCCAGAGAAGAAAAGGAGCTGATTCAGGGTTCAGGGTTGGTGTGAAAAACATCACCTCTGCATCACAGTGCTGACCTGTTTCTCCCCTCAGATGCTGCCCAGTCCTGATAGGGAGTTGGACTGTGTTGTTTTTTGCCCACTGGGGTCAGAGATAAGTAGAAATTGGCATTTTGCCAGCCTTTTCCAGTTATTCAGGCCAAATCCAGTTTCTGATATTTAAGGAGTCCTTGTGGAAAAACAAATAAATAAGTAATGACTCTCTGTCTTCCCTCCTAAACCAAATGAGTCAATATCTGATGAAATCCTACTTCGTTTTCAATTATTCTGTGAGCCCTGTCAAGAGGTAGTGAGAAATTGTGATTTTATTCTTTAACCAAACTCTTATTACAACTCCAAACAGCCAATGACAAATTAGTCATTTATTTTCCAAACACATATAGACTATTTGTAAATTATTAACTCTCTGTAACAACCTTAAGACTCATACTCTATTGTGTAGAAACTGAGGCACATGGAGGCCTCATGAAACAAGATTCAGACCGTGCGATCTGTCTCCAAAATCTGGGCGCTTCCCTCCTGTACTTCATTATCTCTCCATTGAAAAATTTTATGGACAGGGAGGCACTGACTCATTGTGCCCATTTTTCTTTTTTCTTTTCAACTTTGATTTCCAAATTCCCTCACTTGGCCGGTACAGAGCCATGGTACAGAGCCCCAGCGTGATATGGATGTAACTATCAAATGCCAATGGTGACTTTTTGTTTATTTGTTTGTTTCAAAGGATTATTGGGACTTTGCAAAATTCTGCCGAGTTTTCAGAAGCCTTTCACTGCCGCAAGAATTCATACATGAATCCAGAAAAGAAATGCCGGGTTTGGTGATCTCAGAAGAAGCAGCAGCAGCACAGCCTTGGCCAAATTTGCCAACATCACAGGGATGGGAAACTCTAGTTGGGGAGAAAATGGGCCCTGGGAGTCACTGAAGTGTCCTGGGGGGACTTCACAGAGATGAGAGCATCATCATGCAGGTGAAATTAGGCTATTCTAGAAAAGAAAGGCTGTGAAGGCAGCAAGGGGGTCTAAGGTCTATTCAATCACTTCTCACTGTGTAAATAACGCTTAATCTCTACGGATAATATTACCCTTCGTTTCTGTTTCCTTTATGGCCTGCCAGTTCAATGTGGTCCCTTGAAAACAGTGCTCACCACATGGGGGTAACAGTGGGATTCGTGAGAATTGGTGAAATCCCCTGGGATTTCTAACTGAGAGTAGAAAGAAGATGCTGAAGACGGCTGAGTCCCAGAAGCACAGAGGTGACATGGGTTTAAACGCACTGCCTGAGAACTTGTTTTTACTTTTGTTTGCAACATTCATGCGCCTTCAAAATCCTTCCAAAGAATTCTTACACGCAGAGGGGCCTTGGGCTTATATAGGTTTAAGCTCATTTTTCCATGCATCAGTTATTCATTCTGTGACCATTTTATTTTAAGCCCTCTTAGGGCAAAAATGAATGTCTAAAATGGTTTTTTGGTTGTTCTACCGGCCTTGACTAATACTGAGATTCTTGAGGCCCCCTGTAATTTTCTAAGCAGTTTCTTGCTCTGTCTCTCAAAACCTTGGCCTTTTTAAGAGATTTATATGTAATGTATAAATAATAATTTTTATATTTAATTATTAACTACATTCATGACTAAGTAACTGTTACACGTAATCATGGAATGCTGCAGTCTCAGACCAGGATAAACAGTTATATAAAGTGGTATACAAAGGACAGTAGGAGACTTTTTAAACTTAGTAATCATATTGATGAAAAGCTTTAAGCACAAACTTCGGGGTGAATGGTGCCAGGGGACAATTATCTGGAGATTTATAATACCTGCAGCTTATAAGCAGGACTTTTAAAATGAAGTCTGTCGCCGAGGGTGGATCTGATAAAAGGGGAAAACTGTGTCTTTATAGATCTGTGTCTCCTATCTTTTCAGGTCTGTCATCTGATGGAAATATTTTGATAATAAATTGAAATCGTGAGCCCATTATTCACTAAGCCTTTGTGCCAGCCGTCTAGTTTTAGGAAGTACATTTCTGAATAGGTGGGCCTGTGTCTAGAATTCTAAGTGACACGGCATTCTGGACCAGTCCTGTCTGTTCCCTGGTAGAGGTTTATCTCTCGCAACATCTGTGCTCCTCTTTTTCCCTTCCCCATTGACTAGTTGGAGATCTAATGAACATTTCAAAAGAAGTACACTTCCAGGGCAGTGCCTGTGGCTCAAGGAGTAGGGCGCTGGCCCCATATATGGGGGGGTGGCAGGTTCAAGCCTGGCCCTGGCCAAAACTGCAAAAAAAAAAAAAAAAGTACACTTCCAAAATACTTATTTTTCTTAACAAAAGGTGAAAATGAGGGAATTTCTATCCACATTATGGATGTTAGTTTTCCTCCTGCTTGAAAAGGGTCTATTTGCCTTTTTTAAGTTATAGAAATGTTACATAAACAAAAATGGCGTCATGCACATGTGTGCAGTTCCTTGCACTCAGTCCCACTGAACACAGCCCTAGAGGGAGCTCCTGTAAGAAGCAGATCATTATTAGCACCCTAGACGTTCCCCCTCATCACGTCCTTCCTCCAAGGACAGTCACTGTTCTGACTCATAATATCATACACTAGCTTTGCCTGTGTATGAGCAGAATCAATCGGTATGGATTCTTTGGCGTCTGCCTTCTTTCCCTCAGACTTGCATTTGTGAAATTCATCTTTATTGTTGCCTTGACTGTGATTCTTTCATTCTCATTCCAGAATAATATTTTATCTTGTGACTGTGCTATACCTCACCCATGCCATTGTCGACAGGCACTTGAGAAGGTTTGGCACTGTTCCCAACAGTGCCACTGAGAATACACTTGCACATTGTCATCCTGACTTGAGCCTTTCATGGCCTCATTTCCTCAAGTCCTTCTTCCAAAAACTTATCATAAATATTGAAAATATGCTTTCAGACTAACTACCCTTAGGTCACCTTGTCAGCGACTGTACCCTTTCCCCTTATCACAACCACCATTACCACGGGTAATTAAAATTATACTTACATCTGTATTTTCTTAAAATAAACTTAAATAAAATAAAATAAGTGATATTTGTAGTTGGATGTGATGGGAGCTTCCAGCGCTAATAAAATAACCATCTCTGGGTTATTTTATTTCCATCCAGCAGATGAAGAGCCAGAAGTGAAAAGGACTGATACAAATTATTAAAAGCCACCAGACTCCCACTGCTAGCTCTTTCAAACATCAGGCTCCCATCCCATGGGGAAACAACTGCCCAGTGCCTGCATGCCTTCTCTACATAAATACAAAATGTTCTGGGGCTAAGGGATAGATCAAAGTCAGAATAGCTGCACCTCCCTATCCCTCACACATACAGACATCATGAGTTGTATTCTTATTGAATCAAATGAGCCTTCTGATCTCTCTCAAACACTACAGATCATTTGGGAACTGTCATATAAGATCAGACATAGCTCTCATCCCACACATAAATCCAAGTCTACCATGGCTAAATTCTGGTCAAAGGAAAAAAGTTTAGAAGCTAAGACACCAAGGATTGGGAGCTGATGTAACTCGGGAATCAGCACAGAAAGAAGCTCTTGGTGATACCTGTTGGTAAGGAGTCTGCCCTACTCTACAATGCCCATGTGGATTCCAATAAGGTGGGAAGGATGCCTTCCTGATAGAAGTGTCCTTATTCTAGTCCTATTCTGCCACAACTGATAAGGTGAACTTGAGCATTCACTGTATTCTTTTGAGTCTCTGCTTCTCCCACCTAAAAAAATAAAGAGAATTATGTTCTATCAGTAGTTCTCAGCAAGAATAAGTGCCCAGTGCTGCCTTACCTTCAATCTTTCCTACAGTTAAGAACCAATCGGCAAAATCATCTCAAAACTCCCATCAAGATGTCTGAATCCAATTAGATCCCATTTTAAAGAACATGGGCCAATGTTTCATTGAGTTTGTGTCTGTGCTGCTATTAATATTAAGCATTTAGGTGGGGCAAAAGCTTGCTAATTTTCTTCAAAAGCATTCATCATTCCAGTTGCCACAGATCGGAGTTCTCAAACTAGAAGATACCTTCGGAAAGAAAATCAGAGTCTCATCTATTAAAGATAGTTAAGTCAGAAATTTTTATTAGTTTCCAGTGTCAAAAATACAAAAGAAAAACATTTTCCCTACCAGTCAACTCCGCCCCAAACCATCAGCCCCCATGTAAATCTGCACTTCATTTAGTTGCTCAGGCTAGGGTACAGTGGTGCTGTTGAAATCTTGAACTCCAGAGCTCAAGCAAGTCCTCCCACTGAAGCCTCCTGAGTAAGTAGGACTATAGATGTTCACCAGCATGCCCAGCTAATTTGCTTTTATTTTTTGTACAGATGGGGTCTCTCTATGTTGCCTAGGCTGGTCTCAAACTCCTGGCCTCAAGTGATCCTCCTGCCTTGATCTCCCAAAGTGTTTGGATTATAGGCACGAGCCACTGTGTCCAGCCTCTGTTTATATCCTGGAAAATGTTAAGACTCAATGGAGCTTTTATCTCTGTAATCTCAACACTGCTCGCTCTCTTCACACTGAGTCTTTTGAAAATGAATGATAGAAACTATTTAATCTTTTCTTGTTTCACCACCATCCTTTCAAAGATCACCACAATTTGCTGATGGGATTTGTTTTCAAAAGTTAAGTGAAATGATTTTAGGGAGTCATAACCATAATCAGACGTTTTGGGTGAAGTCAGAGGTATCTTTGGGCGCCATCCCTGAGCTGAAAGGGGTCACTCCTGACTGGTGTAATGATGAGAAGTTTACTGCATTCTAATCTTTTCTTTTACCGTGTTTTCTTAATTTCAACCCCTTTGTATTTTTGCATTTTCTCTAAAACAGTGAGAAACACTGCTGTCATTTTCAACCTCATAGCCAAAATATTGTGCTTTTTTGTTGTTGTTGTTGTTGTTGTTTATTTGTTTGTCAAGACAAAATGCAAGGGAGGCCTGGCAGAAAAGTAAGCATTGGCTTTTGCTAGAAATAATGCTGGGCCAGTTTTGGAAGTGTAGAAAGACAGGAAGGTCTGGTGTTTATGATTAATGTTTGTACTCCTGGATTTCCTTTCTACTCAGAAAGTAAGAAATTATTGCAGGTATCAGGTATGTTAACATCTTAATCATTCTTATACATCTGATCTTAGGCAAAAAGCCAGGAAGTGATTACTATTGTATTCTTAGAGACGTACTTGATACCATCTTTAATCTTATTATCTCAAATTCTAATACGTCCTAAAAATTTTCTCGGTGTCTAGGAAGACACAAATGAAGTCTAGCACGTGGATTATCATTTACCTGGGTGTAAATCCTTCATCCGTACTATGAATGATCTGCGTTCCCTGAAACACTACGTGCATATTTAAGGCAGAGATGTTCAGCTTTTTTAAAAAAAAAAAAATTGTTTTTATTAAATCATAACTGCCTACATTGATGCATTCATGGGGTTCAGTGTACTGATTTGATATACAATGTGAAATGCTTACATTGAAATGATTAACACATCCATCACTCTTTTTTTAATAGTTTTGAAATGTACCATTGCATCATGCACGTTAGGTGAACTCCCCCTAAATATCCTCCCTCCTCCCACCTCCCCTCTCCTCTCCCTTCTCATTCCTCTTCCCATCTACTTTCTGGACTATTGTCATGTTTTACCATTCATATGAATATGTAGATGATTATATATTGATTTCATAGCAGTGTTGAGTACATTGAATACTTTTTTTTCCCATTCTTGAGATACTGTACTAAGAAAAATATGTTCCAGCTCCCTCAAGGTAAACGAAAAGATGTGAAGTCTCCAAAGAAATAGGAGATTAAAAATACTAAATAGCAGAAAATGTTTAGATTTGTTAAATGGAAACACAAAGAAGACACAAGGTCGAATAAGCATTGTAATTTTAACTATGCGAAAACATCATTGCATAGGAAAAAATGGAGAAAATAAGCCAAAAATTAACCAGGAGTATTAATACTGGGTGGTAGTACTGTGATTTCCTTCTTTCTGTTTTTTATTGGGGGGGGGGGTTGTGCAGGTTGGTTTTCTACATTTAAAATTTTCCCACAATGGGAAATTTTACTC